AGTCGACATATCCCATCTTTCCCACTACCTGCCAAACTCATAATCCCTAAGTTAGGAGCACAAGTAGTTTTAAAAGTGTTAGTCGATTCTGAATGCTCCCGGTGCGTTATCAGCTTGCCATTTGCCATGAAAATGGGCATACGAGCAAAACTGCTCTCCAAGCCTGTGAGGTTTGAGCAAACCGATAGCTCCCTAATGGGAGGGACTTTAGTCACGCAATTAACTGAGCCCCTACACTTAGAAATAAGTGAGCACTGGGAGTTCATTCGCTTTCTGATGGCTCCAAAAATGACTGAGGCTGTGATCCTAGGATTAGCCTGGATGGACAAATGGAAGCCATTTATCTGATGGGAGAAGGGAATGAGAACTGTGAGACTACCTATAGGACCCAAGTCCACCACTGATTCAACAGACATGACAGGAAACTTTAGCCCATCCAATGAGCGAGCGCACATGGCAGCCTCACCACAACCAGGTGAGCCACTCATCCCCAGTGAGTACCAGGACCTGACGGAGGCATTTAGCGAGAAAGAATGTGATGCCCTGCCCCCCCCCACCAACTCAATGATTGTTCCATTGAATTGTAGCTGGGAGCCAAATTCCCATGACTGAGAATGTATGGTATGTCCCCCCTTGAAATGGAAGAAATGCAATGATACATGGATAAAAAACCTAGAGAGGGGATTCATTGAATGGGTCAAGTCTGCTGTGAAAGCCCCTGTGTTGTTTAAAGAAAAAAAAGATGGATCTCTTCATCTCTGCATTGATTATAAATCTCTGAATGCAGTGAGTGTGGAAAATAAATACCCCCTCTCCGTCCTGAAGGACTTACTAACCCACCTGGCTAAGGGAGTGTCTTCACTAAATTAGACCTGAGAGAGGCATATTACTGGGTGAGGATAAAGGAGGAAGATGAGTGGAAGACTGCCTTCAACTGTCCCATGGAAAGCTATCAGTTCAAAGTCATGCCATTTGGGCTACAGGGGGCCCCAGCTGTATTCATGCAGTTGATTAATGAGGTCCTACATGATCATTTATACAAAGGTGTTCTTGTGTATCTTGATGGCATCCTATATATAGCACAAATATGACTGATCATATAAAGACGGTGAGAGAAGTGTTAAAGAAACTATGGAATGCCAAGCTTTATGTCAAAATGTCAAAATGTGAATTTCACCAGACCTGATTAGATTATCTTGGCTATAGAATTTCCAATGAAGGCATTGAAATGGACCCAGCCAAAGTGAAAGCTGTAATTGAATGGCAGCCCCCAAGGACTCGCAAACAGCTCCAGAGCTTCCTAGGTTTTCCCAACTTCTACGTCAATTCATCCCCTCCTTTGCCAAGATTGCCCTACCCCTTACAGCACTACTCAAACAGGCAAAGGAGGAGGGAAGCCGCAATTGGGCCAATCACCAGCATGGACTATGAGCTGTCAAACCGCTTTTGAGAATTTAAAAAGACTATTTGCTATTGAACCGGTCCTAAAGCACTCCTGCCCATGGGAGCCCTTTGTAATCCAAGACGACACCAGCGACATGGCCGTCAAAGCTGTACTACTGCAAAAGAACCAAAGCAGGACTCTGCAACCCTGCGCCTACACCTCGAAAAAAATAGTGAGAGTGAGAGGAGGTGGGCAATATGGGAAAAGGAGGCTTTTGCAATATGCTGGGCTTTATTAAACTGGAGGCACTATCTAGAAGGGAGCAAGGTGCCTTTTGGAGTATGGACAAATCACAAAAATCTAGAAGCACTGAAAACTCTCTGCAAATTGTCCTCGAAACAGGTGCGGTGGGCACAGTACTTTAACCATTTTAATTTCATTCTAAAGTACATACCAGGTGGGAAAAACGTCCTAGCTGATGCTCTATCCAGACTCCCCCAGTAGAAAAGCCAGCACGAAGAGATTAATGAGGCAATTATCTCCAATCCACAAACTGCTGCTCAGCTCATGCCTCGCAGGCCCCCTAATCCTGATGACCCTGGGGCAAAGAAAATAAAACAAGAGCTCCTCACTGATCAATGGTTCAAGGACAATCAAACCTCCCTAACATGCAGGGATGGTTTGGCTTACAAGGGAGGGAAATTGTATTTGCTAGAAATCCTCTGTCTTAACACTCTCAGACACAACCATGATGTAAAACAGGCTGGACACTTTGGGTATTTAAAAACCCTACACCTCATCTGCCAGCTGTGGTTAAAACAGGATGTGGAAAATTATGACAGGAGTTGTACTGTATGTGCCACCATGAAAAGAATTCCAGGGAAACCCCCTGGGTTACTGCAGCTGGTGGCAGACCTTTCTCAACCATGGGAAGAAATTGCTATGGACTTTATAGTATACCTACCTGAAAGTAGAGGAAATACAATTATCTGGACTGTAATAGACCTGTTTTCAAAGCAGGCTCACTTCATTGCTTGCAAAGGACCCCTGTCTGCCCAACGACTGACTAAACTGTTCTTGAAACATATCTACCAGCTGCATGGCACACCTAAACAAATAATTTTGGACAGGGGGGTGCAGTTCACAGCAAAGTTTTAGAGGAGCTTTCTTAAATTAATTGGATTATCTCAAGGTCTATCATCTGCTTTTCATCCATCTACTAATGGGCCCACGGAATCTGCTAACAAGATGGTGGAGCAATATCTCAGATGTTATGTTTCATACCAACAAACCAACTGGACCAACCTCCTCCCCTTTGCAGAGGTGGCTTACAATAACTCTGTTCACAGCAGCACCAGCTTCATGCCTTTCAGAGTAGCCACAGGAAAAGAGTTCAGCCCAATACCTGAATACTCCCAGGTGTCCTCTGCTTCTCAGACACTTGATCAATGGGTGAAGAAGTTTGGAGAGCCACGAAAACTGCTTTAAAAAAGAATCCCAAGACCTATAAAAAGCAGGCAGATAAAAAGAGGGCTCCTCAAAGAACATCCCAAGTTGGGGAAAAAGTTTATCTGTTGACTAAATATTTACACCTCAAATTACCCAGTAAGAAATTAGGATCGAAATTCTTGGGGCCTTTCCCCATTGTAAAGATCATTAATCTGGTCACAGTAGAATTAAAACTCCCTAGGCTTTTAGGGAGGGTTCACCCTGTCTTCCATTGCAGCTTGTTGAAACCTTTTCAGCGTTCCACTTTAAGACCTCCCTCTAAGAAGGCACCTGGACCCCTCGTGATAGCGGGTCAGATTCACTATGAAGTAAAGTGTATTCTTGACTCTAGAATTTTTAAAGGGAAATTGCAGTACCTAGTACAATGGAAGGGATACTCACTGTCTGAAGCCACTTGGGTGAAATCTAGCGATGTGAAAGCCGACAGACTCATCAAAAGGTTCTATAGGAAACACCCAAACAAACCAAGGGACAGTCCCTAACATATGCTTTTGTTTACATTACAGGATCTGTCTTTTTTGTAGGGGGGGCTGGATGTCAACGCTGCTAACATTGGATGTTTCTGCTTTGACAACATATGGGGATGCAACCATTTTCCTTCTTATGTTTTACTCTTAGAATTAGAGTTAGAATTAGATGACACTGGGGGGAGGAGGAGGAATGTACATGGGAGTTTAGTTAGACATAACAATACTGTAACCAGTGTGAGAATCAAGGTTTTTGAAATAAGAGATGATATGAATTGGCGGGCTGGAGAACTGGAGGGAGAGTCTGCATTTCAAACTAATTGGACAATGTGATTTATGACAGTAAATTAGAAGAGGGAATTGTGCTTTGATACTATGTGCTCAGGGGAGGGGAACTCAGATTTTGGCTTTGGCTATGTACGTGCCAATGCTATGCTCCTCGAATAAAGATTCTTTAAGGTAAACAATGCCTCAAAGTTCTTTGAAGAGTTTTATCCATCGGAACCATGACACTGGTAGCTCAGGTAGTCAATTTTATCTTTGTGAAATTCGCACTTTGAAAGCTTGGCATATAGCTTGGCAGCACAGAGTTTGTTTAGGACTGCTCTGACCAGCTTTACGTGTTTGGCTTTCATCTCAGTGTAGATTAAGATGTCATCCAGGTACACCAAAACCCATTTATATAGGTGCTCATGCAGCACTTTGTTTATCAGTTGCATGAACACTGCAGGGGCCCCTTGTAATCCAAAAGGCAGCACTTTAAACTGGAAGCAACCTAGGGGGCAGTTAAAAGCAGTTTTCCATTCATCTCCTTCTCTAATTCTGACCTGGTAATAACCTTCCCATAAGTCCAATTTAGAAAACACTTTCCCCTTAGAGAGGTGGGCCAGCATGTCCTTCATGAAGGACAAGGGGTACACATTTTCCAGGCACACCACGTTCAAACCCCTACAATCAACACAGAGATGAAGAGATCCATCTTTCTTCTCCTGGAACAATACTAGGGCTGCCACGTGGGGTCTAGCCAGCTGGATGAAACCCTGAGCCAAGTTTTTGTCTATCAAGGAAAAGGAAAGGAAAAGGAAAATCCTCAGCTTTTCTTATATTTAAGCGGAAAGCTTATACATATGCCCAATGTGGAAGATTTACACTGTTGGAGAGCAATATGACTTGCTCAGGCCTATCATTATTGGATTAGTAATGTTTAAATTGAATCTCTACTGCTTTGGTGCTCAGGTTTAGACAGTCTTAGATATTCTGTAATGCCTGTGGACTGAGTAAAAGTGTGTTTCTAAAGTATAAACTGACTTCTGAAGGAAATACAAGACCTGTCCCATATTTTGTGCAGATTTCTTGGCTTAATAGCTAATATTTTCCAATTAGAAAGTGCTATATCATTTCCCCTGAACCACTGGATTGAATATTTTCATTAGGGACAAATTCAGAAACCAGAGTGTGCTATTTCTGTTTTTCTTGTAAGAATTGAATAAAAGGAAACAAAAAATAATCCTAAAAGCAGGCAGTCTTGAAGTTTTTCTAATAAATTAAGGAGAAAGAAATAGCTCCTTTCTCCCAAAATATTGTTGTTCCCTTTGAATGAGAAGGTGTAACCTGTTACATGTCTCTTTTGCTCTCTCTAGGTGGTTCAGAAGTGTTGGCTTGATAGAGGTCAGTTGCTTTGAAGAACTGAATCAAGAAGCATATCGTGTATTGGAACTTCAAATAGCCTGGTGTAGCAGGTACTGGAATACCTTTACTTGTCTTTCATTGTCCTTCAGCAAGTAGTGCTTTGCTGGTTCAATTTGTTAAGAAGTTTTGACAAACTAAAAGAAGAACTCTACTCTGCACAGCTATTATACTGCTATATTTTAATAGCAAGGCTTTTGTTTCTGTTCTGTTACTTTATTCTGAGGTATTGGGAAACCCAAGAATCTACCATCTTTGAACTGCATTTAACCAAAGCCTTGCAGGACTCAGGACCCATGCAATGCACTAAGCAAATCTTACTATGCTTCAGATCCCAGTTTCAGGCTTTACCACATCTGATGAATTGTTTTCAGGTGATGGACTTTGTCAGGGAAAGGGGGAGGTTGCCTAAATAGCAAGCCCAAACAAGCATACAGCAGCTAATTGTTGGGTGTCGCATTTTGCTAGACTGCATGAAGGGCCTCACAATCACATGAAAGTAAGAAAGCAATAGTTGATCAAGTTGTTTTCAGTAAGGCATTTAAGGATGCTGGTTATTTCATGATTGGAAATAAAAGCTTATTGCTATGCTCACTCATGCTGAGGGTGCTGCTATATTCCTCCATTACCTGATCACTGATAAGCTTGCACAAATCATACTTTGAATTGAGGGGTCCTCGGTGCTCTCTGAGCTTGCTTGTTTTCTTGCAGATATTTCATTACACAAAGTAGGTAACATCATCACTGCTAGTGATGATGATGCTACCTACTTAGGGTAACGAAACATCTTCAAGAAAACAAGCAAGCTCAGAGAGCACCAAGGACCCCTCATGTCAATCCTGACCTACAAATATTTTCCTTTATCAATACTTTGAATTATTTATTAACTTAACTCAGTGTTTTCACAGCTTCAAATGTCTAGCATAAAATGTAACCTTATCCATACAGTTCTTGCCATTAGTCTTCATGTGGTAGAAAGAGAAACAAAATGGAGCCCCCCCTTAATTTCAGAGTTTTCCATAACCTCTATATATCTCTTTCTCCATTGTGAGGTACCCTGTGGATATGATCAACAGCAGTGACTGCACAAAACTTTTAAAGGAATTAGTTATTTTGGCAGCATGCTGAAGTCTTTTTAACAGCCCCCAGCCCAATGCACTCCAGAAAAACTTTCATTTATCACACAAAGAGCTGTTGTTGGAGAACCCATAGGAAACCAAAACCATCTGCACAATTGGCTATGTTATGACTCAGTATATAGCACAATATGGTGCTGACCCTATCAATCAAATAAAGGGAACATTTGTTTTAGGTAAAAGCATATTGTGAGTAAAACGCTACATGCAATATTCAAACCCTGGCTGGTATTGTGTATTACATCCCATAAATGTTTTGTAGGAGACACCTGCAAGAAACTAAGGAAAGGAGATAACCAAAGTGCTGATGGATAATAACAATTAATTTAATAACTTGTTAAATTTGTATATTGCATGACTCTCAACTGCTCCAGGAGGCTCACAACAATAAAGGAAAATTATAGTGATAAGTATCAATAAAACATAAAAGACAAAAGGTGTAAATGTGAGGGGTCTCCCTCTTCCTCACCCCCTTACCTAAGTGAAGAGCCAGGTCTTCATGGCTCTTCTAAACAACAGCAGAGTGGGGGCCATCTGGATCTTGGGGGGGGGGAGCTTATTCCAGAAGGCAGACTCCACTACAGAGAAAGAGCACTGGCTTGCTATAACAGTGTTGCAGCATTCCGCATCCCTGTTTGTGATCTTCGCTGTCAGCTTCCAACAAAACAAAATCAACATGGATGGCAGCAGATAGCAAATGGCAATCACGTGGCCATGGGGCACCTCAACCACACAAGATTCACCTAACAATAGCAACTGGGATGCCAGAATTGCCATCATAAATCAATGCAGTTCCATGATGTTGCACCTTACAACTGCATCACATTATTTATTTAACAAAATGACCTTTCTATGTTTTCTAAACATTATTCAGAAACCAGCAGTCTTTTACTCCAAACCCTTTTTGCATTACCAACCCTGCAGAAGAACAGACCCAGCTGTAGTTGGCAAATTGCTTGAGTCATGACACAGCACCGAATGCTGAAATGGAGTTAGTCAATATCATGATTGTAGTGTCCTGGGCCTGCTGAATGACTCAGCAGGCTCAGGAAAGCTGCAGAAAGGCCCGGGCAGATCACATGGTTGCCCGGGACCAGACAGGCTGTCTCCAGCCTTACGCACATGCGCAAGGCAGGAGAATGCTGTGGAATGATTGGCTGATACTGTCCCTGCCAGGGGACTATAAAAGGGCCTGCGCCATTTTTGTTCTCTGTTCTGTTGGTGAATTGCAATAAAGGAAGACTGTTTTTGTTACTCCGCTTCGTCTCCATGCCTCATCTTTGGGAACAGAACATTGGCGATGAAGGTGGGATCGCTGCAAGGAAAACAACAAAGAAAAAGCTGGGCTGACTCACGAAGAGAGGCCTGAAGCGCTGGGAAGTTCAGCGTCCAGTGATTGCAACTCTGCCTGCCAGTACGAGAATGCTGGAGGTGAGCTCAGCAAGAGGGACCCCTTCTCAAATCTTGCAGCTAGAGGTATTGACAAAGCTCCAGGGCAGCAACAATGTCCAAAATCGGTCATCTCTCGGAATTTGATACATCACATCCAGAACACTGGAGTTCCTAAGTGGCTTGTAACAGAACGTCCTAACCGCGCTTCGCAAAAGCCAGGAAACAGGAAAGTTGCAGTATTCAACAAGCTTTATTCACTATGTTGAAACTAAGTTAGCACTGGAACGAAGCTCCATTCATTGCCCTAAATACATTCCTCCACCACACCCAGAGTACACACCCCAATTGATGGTTAATTGGTCATCTGGAATCCACCTGTCCCCCTCCCCATACCTGCCTTGTGATAGTCCTCCACCCTACCTACTCCCCATCCAGCTAGTACTTATGTTCAAACCTTACATTGAGTCCACGCCCCGATCCAGCTAGTACTTATGTTCAAACCTTGCATTGAGTCCACGCCCCGATCCAACTAGTACTTATGTTCAAACCTTGCATTGAGTCCATGCGTTCCGTTCACGCCATTCTCATCCCTAATGTCCCACTCAACCTCTTCCTATAATACCCCCTCCCGGTATCCAAGTGTTGTCAGACCCAGCGTCCCAGTTCCCATCATTCACAGAGTCACGGTTCCAGCAACATAAGCCATAACAGTTTTAACAGCAGTCGGCTTCTCCATATTCCATTTCTATGTAGCCTCCGTCCGGTTATGTGCTGGCAACATAGGATGTTCATGTGACCCGTTCGGCCGCCGCTGTTGGCGATGTAGCTCACGAAGCTACCGGACTCGGCTGGAACACAGGGTTAACTGGAACATTCTGGACTTTGGAAGGTAAGTATCACGCTGGGTCTGACAGCTTGAGTGGAGAATTACTTCTGAGTAAATCAAGTGAGGGAAGACGGTCTCAAAGCTGCTACTTTACTTTGTGTCTGAGGGCAAGAAACGTTCAATATAGCTGAAAATCTGGTTGCCCCAGCACCACTGGAATCAATTGCTTATGCTGAAATGAAGAAGATGGTGCATGAACACTTCGAACCCAAGCTCTCAGGATTGCATGGCGACACGCATTTGAGCAGAGGGACCAGAGGCCTGGTGAGTCTGCTGCGGACTTTATTGCTGCACTCCGACAAGCAGCTAGGCCATGCGAATTCAAGGACCTGGAAGAGAGGCTGCGGGATCGTTTAGTTTGTGGACTAAGAAGTTGTGAGCTGCAGCAGAAGATCTTCGCCAAAGAAGAGGTCTCTTTCCAAGATGCCTTGAGAGAGATTGCAGCTGGAGAAGCAGCGGGCAGCGCTGTGAAGGTCTTGCGGCTCGCCAGGAACCTTCCAGTGGCAGTCTCCGTCCATCAAGAGGTTGCGCAGGAGGAATCCAAACAGGATCCCAAAGAGGAGGTGGACAGACTTCAGCAGGCAGTGGAGAGGAGGCCTAAGAAGCATCCTGACAAGGAAACTGCATTCCCTCGATGTTTCAGATATGGAGGATGCCACAAGTGCTCCAACTGCCATTTCCATTCCGCCATTTGCCAGGCATGTGGCTGGCAAGGCCACATTGCTTCCATCTGTTTGGGTTGCCAGAAGGACCAGTCTTCGGAAGAATTGCTTCAGAAAGGTACCAGGGTCCCCAGCCAACACAGGGTGGGTTTCTGCGTGTCGTGCAGGAGCATTTTCAAAACTGGGGCACATAGGCTGCTTAGGAAGAAGCTTCACATTGACATGAAGTTGCATAGGGTTCCCCTCTCGATGGAATTGAACACAGGGTCCACTTTATCGATTATTTCCCTAGACACTTTCAAAAAGATTTCCAGTAGAAATGGCCTACGAGTTAAACTCAGGCCATCCAATTTAATCCTCACTGACTTCCAGAATTCCAGAGTCAGCGTGAAGGGGGAAGCCACGCTCAAGGTGCAGCATAAGGATTTTGAAGGATTGCTAGATATGGTGGCAGTTGGGAGTGATCGCACGAGTCTTATTGGACTCAATTGGTTCAAGGCCCTTGGGATTTAAGTGACTGGACTTCACAGTCTGCAAACGTCAGGCCTGGCAGTAGTTTGCAAGGAGTTTGCTGATGTGTTCAGTTCAGAGCTTGGCTTTTATAAGGGGCCTCCCATTGCTTTACGTTTAGACCCAGCCATCACACCCATCAGGATTAAGCCTCAAAGGGTGCCTTTTGCCCTGAAAAACAAAATAGATGCAGAACTGGACAAGCTGCTTCAGCAGGGCATCTTAGAACCCCCATAGTCACGCCACTGAAAGCCAATGGTGAAGTCCAGATCTGTGCGGACTATAAATGTACACTTAACAAAGCATTGCAGCAGCATGCCTACCCGGTGCCTGTGGTGAGCCACATTCTGGCTTCCCTCAAAGAGAGCGAATCTTTGCAAAGCTTGATTTGGCTCAGGCCTATCAACACTTACCAGTTGATGAGGCAACGGCTGAGGCCCAAACAATTGTGACGCACTGGGGAGCCT